GAGGTTTACAGTGAACAGTTTGATACAGAAGGCAGTAGCAGACACTTTTCTTTTCACTTATAGGACTTGTGACATCTTCAAAACAAATAAATATAAATCAGCTTTAAAGAGTAATTCAGTTGAAAGACTCTGACTTAAAAGAATTTTCATAAGCAGCAGATGTCCTAAATTCCAGATTGATTCCATTCTCAAAAATATCTGCCACAGAGTTGACCAAGGTTTTCCATGAAGTGGAATTTAAACTGACTCACAATCCTGTTGAATATGCCCATGGAAGTAAATTAAAAATTTATAGGGAAAAAATCCAGTAGAGCAGCAGCAGTTCAAGATCTGCACAACCTGGTAATTCACATGTCATCCACAACAGGAAGGAAGATTCTACAAGAAGCTGATGAGAAGAAGAAAGATATTAAAGAAATGTTTAAGTACCTTTGCATTACAGGCAGTATTACTCTGCATTTCTTCAAGTATAAATACAATGTATGTCATTTTTTTGAAAAAATGTTGCATTATTAATATAATGCATGTCATTAAAGTGTGTCTGTTCTTGAACTATTCTAGTATTAATATACTGACTGATTTTCTAAAAACACTAAAAATCCTAAACATTACGGGTAATTTACCTGTAAGTTGTACTTATTACTTAGGATATGTTGCAAATATGTTATCAAAATAAACACAAGTGTGAATACGATTGCATATTTTATTTAAACATGAAGATTGTCCTAATTATCTCATGTAAATCTTGTGTAAATTACAGGTAGGTCCTTGTATTTTTAACGTTATTGCAATATGGATGTGACTACTTTTTAGGTGCATCTCACACACACACACACACCACACACCTACATTTGTGGAACTATAAGGTAGTCTCACAGGTGAAGTATTGGATAACTGGCTAATAACCTGGTTTAAAAATCAAACCAATCTCTGCCCCTACTAACAGTGTCAACTTTGGAAGGAAAGAAGCAATAACTGTACAAGTTATAAAACTTTGAAACTTGGTGTAATTTTTCTTGAAACATGTGAATGGTCAGGTAGAACCATGTCATTCCAAGCCCATAATTTAGAATCCATGAAGACTACATATGCAATGTGAAACTGCTTCCACTGTTTGTAGGTTGTCGAGGCAGGAGAGCTGGCAGACCACAAATGGCGCAGAGAAAGCATTCTTCTCTGTATGTGAGCCATTCCTCACACCTCTGCAGTACCAGCACTCTGTACTTGTTTCAGGACAACAGAATAAAACATGGCGTGTGGTGGTTTCAAATGCTGGAGCATATCAAATAAGTAAGCAAAACACATTCTGTAGAAGATATCTTTCTTAGAAAATATTAGCGAGTAAAGGATACAGTGTAGAGATTCCCAAATTGTGGCTCAAGGGCTAGTGGTTCATGAGATTTATTCAGGTGGTCCGCAGAATTACAGGAATAAGGAAAAACAGGCTTTGTTAACATGCATAAATAATTAGGACAGACTTGCCAAGATTTATGTGCAATAAATTAAGTGCCATACTAACTTCTTTATTTTTATATATAGAATAAAAAAAATCAGTACAATTTTTATCTCTTTCTGTATGGGCAGCTCAGATTTTATCTGCATTTAAAAGACATTAATTAGGATGAATGGATAGATTTCTAGTCTTGGAGACTTTTAATTAACATGAGTGGATAATATTTTAGCAACTTGGTATTACTGCAGAAGGCCTTGATTTTGCCATACACAGACTAGATCCCCTTTACATGTAAAGTGTTATGATACTTGTCAGGCTTACAGCTGTGCATTGATGATGAAAAATTGTCATTTGAATCTCATTTGCTTTATATTATTGAGTGTTCTGTCTTACGACAGGTCCATTGCTCTGCCCAAAAAGAGCTCTCCAGTTGTCCCTATTCTCGGCTTCTCGTTTTAATTCCTGGAACGTCATCTTCTTTCCTTGTTTAAGATCGTTGGTTAGCTGTATCAATCTTCTTCCTAGTCCTCTCTTTCCTTCAACCTGGCCTTCGGTGATATCACTCATTAATCCATTCCTTCTCATAATATGTCCCAGCCAGTTAGCTTTCCTTCGTGTAATCCCCTGCAGAATGCTTCTTTGCTCGTTGACTCTCCTCAATACTTCTTCGTTGGTCACTCGATCCGTCCACCTGATCTTCTCTATTCTTCTCCAACACCACATTTCGAAACTCTCCAGGTATTTCTGTTCCTTCATCCTGAGTGTCCAAGTCTCTGCTCCATACAGCGCGACACTCCAGGTTGGTATATTTCAGAAACAGTAATTTGGCTGCTAGTGCCATGGCAAAATGTTTGCGTAATATTGATGAGATAAGTGTTCACTTATAATTTTGATTCTGAAGAAGAATTTACATTAAATGAATTTTATATGGTATTGATTATATACATGACTTCGTAGCATACCAAAAATAAAGTGTGACACAGTAGCAAATACAGGGCTACATTATACTGTTTTCATTCCTGGCATGCAGTATCATAGCAGATTCTTTATTGAACATTGAGGTCCTGAGACCAGGTATCTTGTCTGAGGTATTCTTGTGGTCTTCATTAGCCATTCCAGGCATGCCAAGTCTCATCAGAAAATGATGGTCTGCCATTCTGAGAATCTGTATCACTTGAAGTCAGGTATTCAGCTGATTTGCTTTCATTGATATCATTCTGTGACTGGAAACTTTTATGCTGTGGCGACAGGAATCCACCTAACTTGGAAACTTAGCATACTACTGTGACAAATATTACACTCTTTGATGCTTCTTTGGGGGTTAATTCTTAAACAAGAGGCAGAAAAATCATGTGGTTTGCCAATACCCTTGGGAATTTTTGGGTGGTCCAGAAACCCCCATGTGGGGCACAGTCCTCAAGGCTGGACCAATGAGAAGTAACAATGGTGGTGTGCCACAAGGGACAACACAACCCACATTCTGTGCATTCGTTATCCTGAAGCAAACACGTTTGATTTGCTGGTTTGTGATTTTAAGTATTTGTTGTTGCAGGTGCTCACTCAGTACTTGAGAGACCTGTGCTGGACTTGGTGGGTACACAGCCTTGTAGTGGGGGCATGAACTACAGTACTGAGATCTCGTTTGTCTGCTCTAGTGCGGTAAGTGTAGCTGGGTTGATCCTATAAAAACAGGCTTAAAAGTACAGTGATGACTGATGTTATAAACCAGGGGTCGGCAAACTACGGCCCCCCGGGCCAAATCCGGCCCGCCACCGCTGTTTGTACGGCCCGCGAGTTAAGAACTGATTTTACATATTTAAATTCTTTGAAATTTCAAACTGCTTTGTGCATTTCCCATGCTGTCAGAAATTAAAAGAAGAAGTGAAACCTCCACTCCCGCACAAATTTGCAGCGGATATATTTTCTGAACTCAAACTACAGTACCAGCAGCGTTTTTTGGATCTTGATGCAAGTGCAGGAGATATTTCCATATTTCAAAATCCATTTGACTGTACAATTGAGAAGCTTCCACCTAACCTTCAATTGGAAGTGATTAATCTGCAGTGTGATGACATGCTAGAAAGCAAATTTCAAGAGAAGAATCTAACAGAATTCTATATATGTCTTCCAAGCGATGAATACGGTCAATTAAGATCATATGCTCGGGGATTGATATCTGTATTTGGCAGCACCTACCTGTGTGAAAGGACATTTTCAAAGATGAAATATGTAAAATCTCAATACAGGTCAGCATTAACGGATGAACATTTACAGTCAATTTTGATTGGGAGTACTGAATTTCAACCTCAGTTTGGTGAAATGTTATCTCATAACAGGCAATTCCATTCTTCTCAATAGTAGAGCTGTATTTCAAACAATTGTAGTCTACTCATTATTAAGTTACATTTTGTTCAATAAATTTGTAAAAACTTGGTTTTTTCTTGTTACATAAGTAGGTTTACCTATATAAATATCCTCGAGTTTGCCTCTTGGCCCGCAGAGCCTAAAATATTTACTATTTGGCCCTTTAGAAAAAATGTTTGCTGACCCCTGTTATAAACAGTGCATACAGATGCCAGCGTAACCTTGAATTTTTGTAACTGGGTAACCATTATGGCTTTGTCGAGGTCTCTTCAAAGAATATCAAGGTCAGCTACACAACCTTTTGAAAATATTGTTGTAAAAAAATAGGCCATTTTGTTAGGAAAGGCCAGTGCTATCCTATTAAAAAATAAAAGTCTTGTCATAACATGTCTATAAATTCAGATTTAACTTTGTTTCCCACTGAAACAGGGGGTAATATATATTCTTCTGGACAACTTAAAGATGAAATGGAAGTATATTTGCTTGATTTGGCCATGTGAATGTTATTGATGTGTGTAGGGCACTTTAACCTGATTTCCAGCCGTAAACTTGACAGCACTAATGCCTCTCGAGGTTTCTTAGTCACCATCACAGTCTGCTTCAGAGATGCTTCTGCTCACTGTGGACAGTTTTAAACAGCTTACATCAACAGAGACAAAGCAGTGTGTAAAAATTAAAGTAAAAGTAAAGCTGTCCCGCTACACGCCATGTAGGTGCTTGGGGAGAGAGGCGATATAGCTCCTACTCATTCTTGACCTCGGCACTAGATGGGGCGAGTGGTCAGCGTCATGTCTCGGCCACTAAAGCAGTGTGTAGCCAGTATCAAGGGGGTTGTAGCAGGAATATTATATTGCTTTCAGGCCACTACTTCATTCATGTTGGTTACTACCTTTTCAGCGGTGATACTTAACATTCTTGCAAGCTGACTCTTGCAGTTACTGGGCTGTGTCAAAATCTCTTCACCACATATACTTGTTTTTGGTTCCATGGATTTTGCAAAACTTGTGATAACATCACAAGGATTTATTACGTGGGATTTACCAAATGTTTCATGTTGCTTTCAACTAAAACTTCAATTTTTCTAGTGGTGTTTTGCTTTCATATCTTTACAGACTTTAATAAAAACGTTCTGTAGAATTTTGAAACATTGACTAATTTGTTAGTGGCATGAACATTTCCACTTTTCAGCTTTGATTTCACAAAGCCCTACTCTCTCTTGTGTTTTGCCTGTTGTGTTTATGTCGTGCTCCCTCTGTATTCTTTTCACCTTGCTTTTTGCCTTCAAGTTGCGTTTCCTTCATTTTCATGTCAGACTGCTCTTGATGTTCTGTTGGCCAAACCATTCTGGTTGTGAGTTCTGCAGTAAAGATATTATACTAGTTATGCTTCTCAGCAACGTGCAATAACTTTGATGTAAAATCATTTTTTCTTTGACATTGCAGGATCAAAACCCAGTTCTGATATCTGTGAGGGAGAACTGCACACTGCTTGTGATGTGGGAGACAGTTGCAGCATGCCCTTCTGACAAGGATTGTGTTTTTGGTGACAGTGATTTCAGCAGTCTACGCCACTCAGACTATTACGAAGTTGAAACTACTGCCAGGCAAAAATTTCTGCTAAACATATGTGGGCCTGTGCGTTCAGGTGCCTGCGGTGATATCGATCTTGTGACAGCTTGTAAAGTTGATGAGCATAACAAGACAGTCATTGGCCATCTGGGCGGACATCATGTGGAGTTATCGAAGACAACAGGCCTTGCTCTCATTTATACAACTGTGGAGAAAGGTGAACAATATATGCAAGGAGAAGCATAAGTGCACAGAGCATTAGTAGGGATCTCAGTGCAATTTAAGTACATATCTTTTATTTCTGTCACAAGAACAAGTGATGCAGTTGTCTCTTATTCGTGTGGTATCTTCGAAAGGCCCTTGATTTGTTTTTGTTTTTATGAATTTTAAAATGTTCTTTTATATAAATGTAATACTTAAAATGCAGAGAAACCAGCAGACATGTAGCCATACAAATTGAGCTAGAGAGGTTTGCTTGATAGAATGGAAATGGCAGAACCTAGGGTCAGTACTCTTTTTCTTCTCAGTTTTATTATATTTTAATTCAAATTGAATGGAAGTTTTGTATTGCTTGCAGGACCAAGGACTGAGATCCAGTTTGTATGTAATGCCAGTGCATCTTTTGCCAACGTGAAGTTTTTGAAAAAATTAGGAGAGACATACATCTTTGAAGTGGAGACACCTCTGGCATGCAAAGCGTGGCCTTATGAGTGCATGGTGGGTTGCCTTACTACATACATGCATGTTTGTATAGATGCCCAAATGTGCACGCATGCACACAAACGTTCACACAAGCAAACAAAGCCCCCTTCATTTCATTCTCAGGATCCATAAGTTACGTAGATGGCAGTAGGATGTGGAATAAGTCATAATAATGCAACACTTATGAACAAGTACAGTCCATACTATTATAAAGATTTCACATAATTAAAGACATGCCAAAAATACATCCACCCATTACAAAGAGTAGGTAAGTTATACTACCCTTTTATACCGGGTCTACAATTTTATGAGGCTCCGGACAATTGATTTCGGCAATTTCCCAAGAAGAGCTTCGTCGAGTATTTCGAAACATGTTAACGAGATGTGAAGCTTGCCTGCTAGAACATCTTTTGTAGATTTAAGGTAAGCACAATTAATGTAATAACATGTATTAGTGACGAGAAATATTCGTAGTTCGCTGTTACTAGCGGCACTGAAACTGATTCGCCGGTCACCCACCAGAAGAACGTGCACAACTCCCGCCCACATCAACAGAGCACCGGCCGACCACGCAATCCAAACACGACCGCAGCGTCATAAATTGTAGACCCGGTATTACGTGAAGACAAGGAAACCTAATTGTACATTATGACTTCTTTGTGAACATAAATTCATCAACAGAGTAAAAGGAGTGTGTAATTAATTCTACTTTACAGTGTGCCTTTTTATTTGTAAAACTTGTGAGAGTTACTGATGGACTTTGAAAATTTTTATGCCTGCATATTACGTACTCTCCTGAAAGCATGAGAGGCTGGCATTTGGTCTTTGAAGCTGATTCTTATTCCTTGTGTTGACACTGTATAGCAGAATTTGTTTGAATATCTTTTTAGTTATTTACAAAGAAGTGTTTAAATGAGAATATGTATTCTCATGGGAAAGCTAAGGTCTCTGATCTCTTGAATGGATTTCTATATGAATTTCTAGATTTGACACCAGCCATTAATCTAACAGTTTTCTTTTGTGAAGTGAATGTATTTTTACTGTTATATGATTTACCCCAACAAATTATTACATACTCTTTTATGGAGTAAAAATAAGCAAAATACACTGATTTGAGTGTGTCAATTCTGCTGACATCTAACTGCATAATATGTTCCACTTAACTTTAGTATCAGTTTTTCAATATGATTTGTCCAGTTTAGACAGTTATCAGTTTTAAAAACCATGAATTTCGTATTTACCGACTCCCCTATCTACTCTCCATTATAACCAATACTTAAGGCTTGTTGTGGTGAGTTATTTCTTATCAATTTTGTTATAGTGGTTTTATTTAGATTTAGGTCCAGCTTGTTGGCAATAAATCATTTACTCATATGAGAGAGAACTATGTTTGATATTGCACAGAAGTCGTCAAAATTTTTCGTACAAATTAGCACACTTGTGTCATCATCAAATATGGGTTCTAATAAGGTGTTTTTTGTTGGAGGAAGGTCATTTGTGTATATTGTGAAAAGCAAGGCCCCTAGAATTGATCCTTTTGTAGAACTCCATTTTTATTGTTCTCCAGTTTGAGAATAAATTACGATTTTTTTTAAGTGGTTTTAGTTTGACCTTTTGTTTTCTGTGGGTTAGGTAGGATCTGAACCATTTTGCAACTATTCTATGAATGCCATAACAATTTAATTTAGTAAACAAAATTTTGTGATTTATAGTCTGACATTTTTGCTAAATCACAGAAAGTTCCTCCAGCGTGCATGTTAATAGATTTTACCAGTGCTCTGTCGGCTGCTGGCATGTCCCAGTAACCTGACTGATCGTCTGACATGTTTCAGGTATTGGATCATTATGATGGTCACATTGACCTGTCTCCCTTGAGGAAGGAGAGTCACAACTGGGTCATACAGCCCTCGTCAGGGGTACAGTACCATATCAATGTATGTGGTCCCCTGAATCCCATGCTCATCAATATGTGTGCAGGTATGAAGTGCCAGCATTTGCAATCCCATGTCAACTTTAGTTATATTAGAATGGGGCTGTTTAATAACATGGTTGATCTTGTATGAGAGACCCAAACAGTTTCGTGAATGAAATGAAAGTGTAATAGACTATTCACATAGTAATAAGCCACAGCATCCGCTAAAAGTGGAGTGCGTTTGATAATCAGAAATTTTTTTAGTGGCAGGATGATCTGTCTACCACAGTTGATTAGAAGTGTTGCATTATAGTTTTGACATAGTGAAAACAAAGCAAATATTTCAGTAACAGTAAGGGGGGGTTTCTTCCACAGTTTTGAAGTGTAACAACTTGAACATTTGTAATTTTATGTGTATGATTCTTTTATTACATGGTATCTCACTCAGAGGGAGGAACACAGATTGCAGGTATTTGAGAATAGGGCGTTGAGGAGGATATTTGGGCCTTGGAGAGAAGACGATGGGGTCTGGAGAAAACTGCATTTTGACGAACTTAAAAATTTGTACTCCTCCCCCAGTGTTATCAGGGTGATTAAGTCGAGAAGAATGAGATGGGCGGGGCATGTAGCGCGCATGGATAGAGCAAAAGGCATGCACCCGTGAGCATTGGAGATTCCAACCAACAGTGATCTACACCAGACATACTCACCAGTAAGGTCAAATGCCCCCCCTGGCCAAAGGAACAATGACATCTGGCATCAGATATAAACATTCCCATCTCGTGCAGTTCCAGTGATTTGTGTCGTAACATTGTGATTTAGTAGTTACCTTCATTTTGTATTTCAGATGGAGTTGGTGCCTGCAGGACTGATTCCAATTCCTCTATCAGCTTGGGGTTCATGACCAGAGGACTGAGAGTAACCGAGTCAAACACAGTCATTCTGGAGTACACAGGTGATACATGAGGAAATGTGTTTTATATTTTTTGTTAGTATTCAACACTCATTATCTTGAAGCAGCATATTGTAACACAACATATAGGTTAAATAATTCTGTATGTAGGCCGTTTTTGTCAATATTTAGCAACACTGCCATGTTATGTTCACTTGCATAATGGCATGATGAGAAGGTTCTCCTTCTGGGTCACAGGTGTAGTTTTACAGCTGGCACTTATTAAACTTCATTCTTACATATTAATATAAGACTTTAAACAAAAAGGGAAATCATGTGGATATTATTTGACTTTCAAAATAAAATTTCCCTTGTGTTTTCTGCAGAATTTCGTATTTGTTAGCAGCACTGTTAACCTCTCAGTATTGGAGTTTACCGTATTTATAGAACGGCACACATGTTTCATATTTTTGCAATTGAAAACTGGGTTAAGCTCCATTTGTGTGAAGATAAATGGTTTAAGGAGAAAAGGGGTTTTAAGAAGGCAGTTTTTTCTAAAATATGATCAAAGTATGGGTTTTTGAATGATTACCAAAATATGAAATTCAGTGACTTTACAATTAATGTTTTTTCACATCTTTCCATTATCTCACCCTAGGGCATGCCCTAAAATTCATGCCCTGCTCTTGAATGTACTGTTGCGCATACTAACGTTTCTGCAGTACAGTCAGTTCTACGAGTTATTTACTGGAATCTTTTGAAAAATTATTACCATTTCAGTGAAACTGTGGTCACTTTGTGGTATAAGCACATCACACAACACTTTGTATGCACGTAGAAGGGAATTTATTTCTGTTCATAAAAAGTTTGGTGATGATAAATTTCCTACTCACAGCTCATTACTGCTGTCACTTCTAGCATTGTCACTTTCACTTTAATGGGTTTCAGCTGGCATTGTTTGTGACTAATGTACTTCTTCAATACTTTTATCATCAGTACTATAGACCCCCCCCCTTCCACCACATTTTCCTGATCTGATATTTCAAGTAAATATAGAATTCGTTGTTTATGTGGAAGACTACCACTCTTAGACAGATCCTACATTGTCCCCGACTGGCTGAGTTAAATAGCACGCTCTATTCATTCATACACCCGGTATGATCATCGGATGTTTGTTTTAGCCCGTGTTTATAAAACAGAACCTCCCTCTCATCTCAGTGTGAACAGCATCTCAAAAGATTTAATAGTTTCTTCAATAGATGTCATATAAGACCAGCCTGTTGTGCGTGCACCATACGTGAGACTCCGAAAGGGAGGCAGACTTCAGGTGTGTGACATATATGGCAATCCACATTGATAGGTTGTTCATATGCAGTGGTTGCATGGTATAAGGCATAGTTTTGACCTTTGAACACGGATTGTTTAAGTCCCATTCAGGGTATAGATGCATGTCAGTATAAGGTGGATTCAGGGGTTGGCAGTGACGTGTAAGAAAGTGATGGATTGAACAGACCAAGAATTTAATTTGTGATTTTGATTATGATTAAATTGAACAGTACCATAAGTTGAATCTAGTGTGTTCCATACAGTTGAAAGTTGTGAAATAACATTTGTTTTATTGTAGCTTGGCTTGCTTCTCATCACGTAGTTGTGTAACTACGAGGGCGTTTCAAAAAGTAACAACAAATTAAATATTTTGAGATATATAATTTAATTAAAGATACAAATGATATGTCATTTTTCTACATAATCACCCTTGTTTTCAATACTCTTCTCACACCGTTGCACCAACTTCTTTATTCCATCAGAAAAAAATGTTTTTGGTTGTGCCTTCAGCCAGGAATGCACCGCTTCTTTGACCTCGTCATCATTCCCAAATCTTCGTCCTCTCAAAGCGTCCTTCAGGGGTCCAACCACATGATAATCAGAGGGAGCAAGGTCAGAGCTGTATGGGGGATGCTGTAAGATCTGAAATCTCAATCTCCGAATGGTGTCGAGAGTCGCGGCAGCCATGTGAGGGCGTGCGTTATCATGGTCATCGTGGATTGATGTTCTCCCATTTTTAAACGCATCTACCCACTCGTACACTCTTCTCTCCCCAATGCAGGCATCTCCATACTGTTGCAGCATTCTTCTATGAACTTCACGAGGTTTCACACCCTCCAACCACAAAAATCTTATGATTGCTCGCTGCTCCTCTACGGTGCAAACAGCTAAGGTCGCCACCATTTTGTATATGCATCCCTTCCAATTAAGCATGCCACGTCGTCTCAAAACCTTCTCCAAGAATGTATCTTTCCTGCGCAGGAGTTTGAAATGCCTGGGGTATTCGTTTCGTGAAATATTGTCAATTTGCTGTTACTTTTTGAAACGCCCTCGTACATTGTAATATGTTGCATGGAAAAATTATTACAAATATATAACTACGTATTGAGGTAACTGGATGTGTGGACAGTTGAAGTTTGCATTGCTGAACTAACAGATTGAAGGATTATATCTGCTCTGTCATTATTATATGCTGGTGTTTTTAGCTTACTCAGCCTCTTAAGTGCATGACCGTTTCATTTTGCAGGGGGTTCCTCTTGCCCCAGTGGTGGAATGCATAGCATGCAAATTGAATTCTCGTGCTCGAAGGTGGTTGGAATGCCAGTGTTTGTGAGGGAAACCGCTAAGTGCGTACACCATTTCTCCTGGGAGACCATGGCATCCTGCCCCTCACTGGTAACTTAATGTGTTTGTTGCTCTGAAGAGCAGTGAACTGAATTTGATGAAGTAAAGTCACTTCGAGGACTACACATGGTTTTTCATTTACTTACCATATAAAAAATTGTTTATGTAACCATTACAGAATTTAATAATATAATGATTTCCCATTTTTAAATTTTTTTGGAACATGGCTTTGTACATATCTTTCAGATTTGTTACTCTTTACATGTCCAAGTTTAATGTTTATTTTCTGGAAGATTGTATTATTTGTGTGTAACATAATGAAAATTGTGTTACCTACACACTCTTAGTTAATGTGCTTTGGCAGTACACTCGTTTCCAGAGAAATATCGTTGTTGAACATTTCTTTACATGGAGCTGTGTAGTTTCAAAATTCCAGGTTCTTTTTTCATGTACAGCTGTTTAACAGCTGATGGTGGTGTGTTCCAGCTGGCTGTTGGGGAGAACTGCGTTGTGCAGGAGAAGCAGTATGGGGGTATTTTTAACCTGATGGCACTGCACTCCCCTCATGGGGGCTACAGCTTGACAACAGAGAAGGGAGACAATTACCTTATTAATGTTTGTGGGCCACTCAACAGAACTTGCAGTGGACAGGAAGCAAGTGTGTGTCTCATTACACAGGCCGGCAACATGTTTGCTATAGGTAATTAGGGTACCAACAGCAGTAAGTGTATATGTTTTTCCAGTCACCCACTTAATGGTAGTAATGTTCTTTGTCTTGCAGGCCGAGTCAACAAGACTGTGATATATGATAGTGGTGCACTTCGGTTTGTACTGTATGGCGAGGGTTGCAAACCAGGACGGAATGTCAGCACTGTTATGTTCTTACTCCTATGTAGGCATGGCAGTGATGTGGGACAGCCTGAGTTTTTCTCAAAGGTAATATTAGAGGGAGTCTGTTATTCCTAAGCAGCAGTGAAACAATGTTTGTAACACAAGTTGATGCATTGGTCATGTGCACTTATATTTGGAAGGTATCCAGTTTAATTTGTGGCTGGGTTACTGCCTATCCTGGCAGTGACTGTAACAGATTGGAATTTTTCATTGATTTTTCAAGACAAGGTGAAATGAGATCTTGGTATGGCTATCATGTACAACAGAGTCCTTGAGAAGGTGATAGTCGTGCAGCTGGCCAGGAAATTCCCTGCACTTTATAGAACTCATTCATTATTATGCCTACAAGAGTCCACCACTGGACCCTATCCTGAACCAGATTAATCCAATCCACACACTCGCACTTTCATCGAGGTCCATTTTTAATATTACGCCCCTCTGCACCGGTTCCCCAAGTGGCAGCTTTCCTTCAGGTTTTCTGACTAAAATAGAGTATGAATTTTTCAGTTCTGATACATGCTACATGTCCAATCCATCTCATCCTCCTTGATTTGCTTGTCCCATTTTTTTTTTGGTGATGAGTGAACATTATGAAGCTCATCATCATTATTTTTCAACCTTTTTTCTTTGGTCCAAATATTCTCTTAAGCACTATGTTCAAACACCCTAATTCTTGTCCTCTTCTCTTTGGTTGAGTGATTAGGTTTTACCATACAAAAGAACTGGCAAAATTATAATTCTGTATTTTAAAACTTTACAATAAAATGGGAGACGGGAAGACAAAAAGATTCTGAACTGAATGGTTGCACATGTTCTTTAAATTTTATCTGCTTTTAATTTGTACATGAATTCAGGTCTTGATGCTATATGAGGTTGTGCCAAACATGGGATTGGTGCGGAGCAGCCAATAATTTTAATTTTCCTTTGTGTGTAGGATGAGGATTGAAATTTTTAAATTTATTTTTCTTTGTTTGCAGGATGATGACTGCAATTTTTACTTCGTCTGGAACACGAGAGCTGCGTGTCCACCCCATCAGTTTGTGGACTGTACTCTGATGCATAATGAACAGTTTTATGACCTGAGTCAACTCACGGACTTAATGAGCAACCACGTGGTGGTTAAAAATGGTCTCATGTTCTTGCTCAATGTGTGCCATTCAATTGTGTTTGGGAAAGATGCGTTCTGTCAGTACTCATCTGCCGCCTGTCTGTTCAACCTATCCAACCCAGACCCTACCAGCAGGTGCATACTTTTCATCTAGTATTATCACTGTGATTACATTTTAGGGATTGTGTTGGGCAAGGTATGTAGTTCAGTTGGCTGAAGAAAGAAATTAATGCAAATTTTTGTTATATCCAAATCTCGTGGAATGAAGGGAGCTTGGGTGACAAAGGCCCACGTGAGATAATATTAAATTTTCCGTTTCTGAGATTGAAATGACATCACATAATCTGTCAGAAGTTTGTACTGTTTCCATTGTGAGCAAAAGGTGTACTGAAATCAGTTCCAAACACAAACTCTTACAAGTTAACAGTTCTTTTGCATCAAAATTGTTGCAAGTAAAAATTAGATTGTACCTTACTGTCTACATAGTGCTCGTTATTTTCTGAGATGATGTCAGTATTCTTTATTTTCATTCACAGACCCACAAAATCGTGTCAT